CTGTGACGTTTACATCGTCTGTGCACAGTGATGTCATGCAACCTGCAAGCACATATCTGACAACAAATATCTCATACGGATCAGTATCAGTTTGCGATCTGCAGCAATTACAGATATTTTATTATTCAGAACACTTACATGTATGGTAGCAGCAGCAAACAATGCCATTATTTTATCTTAGGACGTCAATGATTGGTTCTTGCCAAGCAGTCATGTATTTTATCTTAGGGTGTCCATGATTGGTTCTTGCCAAGCAGTCATGTATTTTATCTTAGGGCGTCAATGATTGGTTCTTGCCAAGCAGTCATGTATTTTATCTTAGGGTGTCAATGATTGGTTTCTTGCCAAGCAGTCATGTATTTTATATTAGGGCATCAATGATTGGTTCTTGCCAAGCAGTCATGTATTTTATCTTAGGGTGTCAATGATTGGTTCTTGCCAAGCAGTCATGTATTTTATCTTAGGGTGTCAATGATTGGTTCTTGCCAAGCAGTTGTGTATTTTATCTTAGGGTGTCAATGATTGGTTCTTGCCAAGCAGTTGTGTATTTTATCTTAGGGTGTCAATGATTGGTTCTTGCCAAGCATTCATGTATTTTATCTTAGGGCATCAATGATTGGTTCTTGCCAAGCAGTCATGTGCACACATGCAGAGGGTAAACTCCTCGTACACCTGAAGACATTATTGATGGGGTTATGTATGCGTGCATGCCACTCACAAACTCAAACCCCTGTGACACTATAGCAATGGCTTGGTTGTGATTCTTTTTCAAATACATTTCACAAATATGTATATCCTGGCCCTAAAATAGGCCGTGTAGATGGTATTCTGTATAATTAATTCCAGCCACCCTTTTATGATTTTTTTTTTGCACGTGTTACTAGAGCTTCATCTGTGAGCCAATAGGCATTATGCACGACCTCTAAAGGTCACACATCCTGGTATTTTGGGGGTTTGAGAGAAGGAACAAAATTAATCGTCAATGAGAATTCTTCAAATGTTTTTCAAAAAAAAACATGTTTGTTCACAAATACAAAACTTATCAAAACTTGATGTTAGAAATTGTTACTGTTGCAGGGGACACTCCCACCCCATCCTAAAAGTGCCAAGCTGTGCATGTGAAGGACTATTACGCACTCTAGTCTAGTAAGTAATCTAACATCATTAATATATTGAATCAGTCAGTACAAGACAGTTATGGTTATTGTAATTATAATTTTATTGACCTTATTCGTTCTGAAGGCAAGTTCTAATTCAACTACAAAAAGAAAATTCTATGATAAATAATAATAATAATAATTTATTGACACAACACCGATATAGTACAATACGGCAGTATGGCCACTGAATACAACTATTAACCACATTTAAAATAGAATTAACATATTTGGCAAAAGGTATCATAAGATGAGTATCCAAAGCACTTAACAAATGAATGAATTTACATTCTTGATTTAGTTTTTCAAATTCTGGAAAGCTAATATTGTGAACAAAATTTTCTCTATTTGATTTAATATCTGAGTTTGAACAGTTCATAACATAATGTTTTTCATCACCCACTTCAGATGAGTCGCACAATTTGCATATTCTTTATTTTTGATGGATATTATTGTACTGCCCTTTCTCAATTGGCAAGTTATGGCTTGAAATTCTTAATTTTGTAATTGCTGATCTCATTTTATAATTCAAAATTACTTTTAGATAATTTTCAAATTTGTAATTAAGGTTATAATAAAAATATTGAAATATAAAAATTGTGTTTGTTACATAAAGCTGCTTTTTGATGCAATGTCCAAAGCATATAAATGTTACTAGTGATATATGGCACTTTGTCTTTTTTTTTATTTTACTGATAAGTTTTTTTTTAATGAAAATACGAGTTGAGAATGTTGTACCAATACATGGTAAAATCCTTCCTAATGTACTGCTATAATTGTCAAGAATTCCCTGTCTAACAGACCTCTATTTTTTTGAGTGAGTACATGCTATAATTTCCCCATTGTTCTTATTATTTTCTGTCTTCAAGCTCTGACCTGCAGCTTACACTATACTGGGGAATAATAGCCACAAGGCTGGTTTCTTAGATGGATCACAATTGAAAGCAACCCTGTGTAATTGCGCTAAATAAGTGATGAAAGATGGTTTAAAATTTGATGAGCATTGCTGAAATTCTAGTAGTTACTCTTATCTTCTTGTTCCAACCCTTCAGGGGTTGCTTTTTCTCCTGCCCATTTCTAATCTAATGTCCCTGTTATATTTAAGCAAGTGTAAATTGGATGGGAGGGAATACTGTCGGGATGTCAGAGTAGCTGAGTAATTTGTTTTCTAGGGGGAAAGTTCATGTTTGTCATATTCAGTGGCATGTAAGACTGTGAAGCATATATTGAGATGAGTACATGTGTTGTATAGGATTAAATTAAGATTAAAACTTGTTAAAAAAATAAAATAATTAAATTTGGATATGCATTTGTTTTCAAAGAAGGTGTGAATATATTTTGTATATCAAATAAACATTTTATAAATTTAAAATGACAATCAAACCCAACTGCACCTATCACAATACCAACAGAATCATATGGATTACACAGTGTGATCTTTGATCTATCATAATTTCTTTACTTCCCGGAAATAAGTATGTTTTACCATTTAACATTTTGCACCAAATAGTAGTGACGATACTACATATACCATAGAAACCACAGAAACAGCCATTTATTGGTTTATGGTTTTGACGCAAAAGTCTTCTGGTGGAAATGTTTATGTTTTCTGTTCAAAAAACATAATATGTTCTTGTGTTTTCGAAAAAATCTGTATACAAAACTAAAATAAAGCATTATCCCCATAATATATTTCAATATGAAGCCCTTCTGAGACCTGCAGCAATTTTTTTTAACAAGTAACTACTAAACATGACAAGTTTACTGATAGGCATGTCAAGTTTAACTACGAGATGAGAGAGTTTACTTCTAAACGAGCAAGTCAACTACCAGACATTTCTTGCATTTTTGTGGCAATGTATTTTATTATTGATTAAATGATACAAAATATGCAAATTAGATGAAATTTAACAGAAATACTCATGTTTATAATTCAGTTTTACTCAGGGTTTTAGTTGTCGTTTTTCTATGCTGGCAGTTGGGGGGGGGGGGGTAAATATGTAGACTGTACAGTAATATGATATCAATCAAAATAATCATGTGTTAATTCTCAGAGTTGTACTAATGTCATTTTGGATAATCACTGTTCATAAATCATCTGTTATTCATCAAGAATATTATGAATTCATAGCAAGTTAGAGATTTTACTACGGTAGTAATTAATATCCAGACTACAGACAATGGTCTACAGTCCACTGCTGTATTAATTGTGAACTTGACCTCTCTGTGATGAGGCTTCCATTGAAAGAAGAACATAATTAGAAAATAAACCGTTGACCAAACTCATTAAAGTTGTTGAAATAAATACCCTTAAACAATATCAATTCCCATGTATTATAAATTATAACAAGTATTAGATAAGGGAGAAAGATAGAGGAGAAAACTGTACATTGTTAAGGAATATGCAAGGTTATGACCAATTTGGTTACCTGCATGATTTTTGATTTTTGTTTTGTTTTTAAGTGCAATTGGGAAATTATCAATTTAATTTATTTTAATATTTTTTTATTGTGTCAATAAAAAAAAATTCTAATATTATACGATCCGTAATCCATTGTTTAGGATTTTATACTTTTAGTGACTTTCTCTGTAACAGTTGTGCTCATAGTCTGGTGGTTTATTTATAGCCATTTTATTTTTCACCGGGAATATCTAGTAATGTCAGATATTTGAATTATTGTGAATTTGTCATTGACCTCCTTCACAACTAATGATGCTACTGCAGTATCATGTGATCCAATTCACTTAGTGTCCATTCCGCTCTCGTACTGAATGTAGTTTTCCTAATATAAAAATAACATTACTGTGGTGTAAAATGTAGTAATTATAAAATCAACAACAACAATAGACCTTTCATTTACTGTTTTAATATATAAACATAATTTAAATATATTTTAAAGAATATATTGTTTGCATTTATACTGCTGTGTCCAGTGAATTTAGTATGTGAATGTCAATCATGGTTTGAGTAGTGTCAGCTGTGGTGGTGTGCTTTGTTAAAAGCTGCCATATCCTGGCTTACAATGTGTGCCACACATGTGCACAGCTTACCACGTATATGACAGTGTCCACATGTGTTACACTCAGGTTTCTTAATTTTGACTAATGGGTATGTGCAACTGCTGGAACAGCCGGTATGAATGAAATATTCAGTAGTCCAATTGGGAGGTGCAATAAAGGGAAAGGCTGACATTGATGTTTGCATCATTCTGTGTGTATGGAACAATCTGTATACCTTGACAAATATCCCTAGAGAGATACTAAGTGATCAGACAGCTTGGCTTAGCTTTCACTGCTGATTTACTATCATGCCCTTTACATACAATGTTCGGGTATGGAAACTACAACACAGTTAGCCTTGCTAGTCTTGCAAATCTCTTACACCGGTTTCTTCACAAAAGGTTTTTTTTAGCCTTTGGAAAAGATAGTTGTTGTTAACTTTCCTTGAGCTACAGTCCTCATCTGGCCAGATTGCCAGTACACAGTTGTGGATAGTGAAAGCAATTAATTTGATATTAATGCATTTTCCCTGCTGTGGGTAGTGGTTGACAGCTTGAACATATGTGGCCCTGTCTATTAGTCTTGTGTATTACCAGTAAGCTAGGGAGACTGGACAACTTAGCAGTGTTTCTATTTGACTGGGCTGGATATTGGCCATCAGGTGATAGCATTTATGCACATGTGTTGTGATCCCATCACCGTCTCTACTTAATCTACGATAGTTTTTTTTCCATCGCTGCTGTTGTCAATTTATATATGGTGGGAAAATAGTCAGCAGACGACCAATAGTGCGAACGTTGAGCCAGCAGTGGAGTAGCTACATCACTGACTGATGTAGAAAAGCATCATGCAAGTCGACTTACTACACGTGTATAGTAGTATTGTGTTATTTAGATTTTGGGTCAATATAATACCTTCACCGGCTGTGCATATATACCACTGTTAAGAAGATACAGATTGTGACTATTCCTCATAATAATATTATTGACAAATTCTGCTCACGGACGTATGTACGCTGTATGCTTGGATATTTTGGTTACTTACACTGCCTCACTTGATATGACTGAGTATATATAATAATATCGCTGTGTGATTTACTACGTTGTAGCAAGAATTGATTTTCACAGTCTCCGTTATGAGAAAAACCTCCAGTAGTAGTAGTATAAACCAGAGTGTTTCCGCTATAAGAACCGGTGATATGGATCAAGATGTGCGTAATAACAACACAAATTCGGCTGCTTCCTCTACTGTACTGACAACAACAGCAGAGACAACTGATCGCAAGCCATTGACACTTTCTAAATTAATGCAAGCACATCACAGCAGTCAGCACTACCAAGGTGCATTCAGCTTTGAGTATCATAGGCCAAAAAGTAAGCTTTCTTTTCTCATTTTTTTTTCTTTTGTGTGATGGCTTTATGTTGCTGTTTCTTACTTCCTTTTTCCAGTTGACTTAAAATAAATCTGTTTCATCTTCCCCACAACACCATTATTCAGTATGTGTGTAGTCTAATTTAATATTCCAAATCACTCTTGCTAAGAATATATAGTTCTTACACGCAAGATGGATGCCAACACAGATACTGACACATAGAAAGCATATCAAGTATTTGCTGTGGAATTTGCAGCCTAACCTTGGCGTGTTGCTGTCTGAGTTATGACTAAGAAAGAAGATTCCTTTCATGTCATCATGCCATTCATCATGACGGCCTATAGTCACAGCACAGTGAAGCGAATAAACCAACTGGCTCTTAATGCTGTGTTTTAATAAACTCTCACCCGATCATTGCTATAGTGCACACTGCTATAGTTGTTGTTTTGTTGTATTTTAGCTCTAACTGCCTGTCATCTGGTACTCATACTATATTCTTGTGTAAGCTGCAAAGCTGTAATTGCGGAGTAATGTTTTGTATTGTGCAGTAGAGGCTGTTGTCTCCCACCATATGGTCCCAACATACTTTCTACTGCCTATTTACTCTAGTAGTACCATATGTCCTACTGCTGTCCTCGTTGTTTCACTCATCATTTCCCAATCCTTTTAACAAAATCATCCTTTTTAGTAATTTCTACTAACATTCGTGTGTTATTTTCATTTTCTTTGTTATTTTGTTTGTATTATGTTTGTATTATAATTTCATGTTGTATCCTTAGGGTAGTGCATTTAAAATTGCATATGTTCCTGAGATTATCAGAATTAATGGATAATTTATTTGTCCTTAAAATATCGCAATAATTCTAAATACTTGATGAAAAATGATGGTTGTTAATAAAAATGTTTTGGTCTTTCATATTTTCAAGTTTATTCATGTTTATTGAAACCAACAAATATTTTATTTTTGTCTTGAATATATAAAATTATTTAGAAAATGTTGTTCTGCCTTTATGTTGCAAGTAAAAACATACACAGCGTTATGCAGAGTATTTTTATAAACAATATTTACATGGTAGCAATTTTGCTATTTCAGTCACTGTCGTAAAGCCAGCACATTTCAGCCTGAATCCAACAACCCTCATATTTTCTATTTTGGTACATAATTTATTTGTGCGAAGACTGAAAATATAGTATAACCATTATGTTCATATTGTGCCGTCTTTTCCTATTCTTCTCATTTAGTTATTTTATAACCGTAAACCATATTGCACTCCCTATACTACCAGTATACTTATAAAGTTTGCAATTTTCTGCTAGCATATGGGTAGATGAAACCAACAAATTCCAGATGGTGTTCTTTCATGTTCTCAAACAGCGTTATTTTTATTTGTCCATTTCTTTCTAGCCTTCAAATATTATTTTTTGTTTTTTCGTTTACTGAGCAATGGACCTGCCAAGTTAACATAAAAATGACAAGAATGTCAAACTTTTAAGAGATAAAATTAGTAACAACAAATATTTGGAAGTTTGTTCAACTAATTAACTTAGTGAGGCAGAAATCAACTGATATTAAATTATTATTTTAACATCTACACCTGGATTTGTCATATAAATGGTCTGCCACTCAATAAAAGTGGGTCAATTTGGTGTATATGAAATTCTGCATTTACATTTCAGAATTTAAGGTCAAGCTTTGACAAAAGTATTGCGTTTGTTACAATGTATAAAGCTGTGATGAATTTTTAAATGACTCAAATTTGTCTGGTAATATACACTACATAGCAGCTGGCCTTTCTCAAAATACAAATAGAAATTAGTTTAATATTAGAGTAGTGGACTTTTCATATTGTACATATTTGAAACGTTGTGATGTATAGCCAGGTCGGCTGTTAGTATTCCCACTCTTAGCTAATTATCATTACCCATTCATCAGCGTTTCCGTCCCCTACTCATATATTATTGAACATATCTAAACATCTTAAGCATCTCGTTTTATCTCGGTTCCAATACCACCATCTGGAAATATTCAATAAAGTTCTGAAAAGTCCCACGGAAAATATACAGAGTCTCCCTTCTTTTAAACGATCCTGCCAAAACACGTGACCTGTGTGTGTTCGATAGTCGATTGAAGATGAGGATATTGTTTTTGGTGGAGTATTGAATATTGAAATGAATAGGAAAAGAAGAAAATACAGCAAACATAGTCAATATTGAGCAATGCTCATAATTAACTGTAGATTGTTAGAGAGTATATCTGTGTAATGCTGTGGGCCATTGAAAGCAGGTGCATATACAGGAAGTGGATTGATGGACATATGTGGCAACACTGCTTGCAGTCAGCAGCAGGTGCAAACCTTGAATACTCGGTGACTTTTATCAGCTATGCCCCACACAGCTGATGTTCATACAAGGCAGTCCGCATCTTAGATAGAAAATTTTGAAAATTACAACTGCTCATAATCGATTTAGTATGAACTTAAAAAAAAAAAAAAAATACACTTCATCTCAAAGTGTATTTCTGTTGAATAAAATATACATGTTTAATTGTTACAATATTTACCATATTCTTGACCTTTGACTTTTTTTTTCGGAGTGTTGCATTAACATTTAGTTTTTAAAAACATTGTCTGTATTTCTTTCTTTAATGATTTATTGTCACTTCCTGAATGCAATCGAATATTTGATTTTTATCGCGATGCTGGGTTCTATTCACTTTTAGGTAGTATATTTAGGTATTTTTTGGGTCAGAAGTAAAAGTAAAAAGGATGTTCAGGTATGTTCTGCATGGAACACTTTTGTACCTTCTTTATCTTGTCTGTTATTTTTCATTCTATTGTATCAGTCAAGAAGAGTGCATTGGTGAACATAACTTACTTGGTCTTGTTACAGGGGCTGTGGCATTTTATATGTCAATAATTAATAATAAAAATTGTAATATTTTATTTTGTATCATAATTGCCTGTTTGCTGTGCAGTCTGACCAAAATGTGTAATGAAAATTGACATCACATATGGCTGTGAATCTCTTTGACATTTTTGCTATTGTTTTCCAAGAACTGTTCCCTTACATATTCTAGGAATTATAGAGAGACACCTCTGATGCCACAGAAATTAAATTATAGAGGGAGACACACCTCTGATGCCATAGAAATTAAATTATAGAGAGAGACACACCTCTGATGCCATAGAAATTAAATTATAGAGGGAGACACACCTCTGATGCCATAGAAATTAAATTATAGAGGGAGACACACCTGGGATGCCATAGAAATTAAATTATAGAGGGAGACACACCTCTGATGCCATAGAAATTAAATTATAGAGGGAGACACCTCTGTGCCATAGAAATTAAATTATAGAGGGAGACACACCATTGATGCCATAGAAATTAAATTATAGAGGGAGACACACCTCTGATGCCATAGAAATTAAATTATAGAGGGAGACACACCTCTGATGCCATAGAAATTAAATTATAGAGGGAGACACACCTGGGATGCCATAGAAATTAAATTATAGAGGGAGACACACCTCTGATGCCATAGAAATTAAATTATAGAGGGAGACACCTCTGTGCCATAGAAATTAAATTATAGAGGGAGACACACCATTGATGCCATAGAAATTAAATTATAGAGGGAGACACACCTCTGATGCCATAGAAATTAAATTATAGAGGGAGACACACCTCTGATGCCATAGAAATTAAATCATAGAGGGAGACACACCTCCGATGCCATAGAAATTGAATTATAGAGGGAGACACACCTCCGATGCCATAGAAATTAAATTATAGAGTGAGACATCTCAGATGCCATAAAAATTAGATTATAGAGGGAAACACACCTTTGATGCCATAGAAATTAAATTATAGAGGGAGACACACCTCTGATGCCATGGAAATTAAATTATAGAAGGAGACACACCTCTGATGCCATAGAAATTAAATTATAGAATTAAATTATTATTCTATTAGAAATGTGCCTCTGGTCGAAAATTATTTATTTATACAATATGTTTATACAAAACAAAAAAAGTTGTGACCAGCCTTTTTTGAACTAACATAGGTGCTGACCCAATAGAAGGACATGGACACCTGCTATGTGAACTTATTTTACATGGGATGGTTGCATTAAACGACTGTTTAATGAAGTATGGGACATACTTTAGATGTCATGATGTGATTATTATGTTATAACTCCCTGTAATATTGAAACCAAGGTGTCATGGTGAATGCTTTGTTAATGAATAACTACAAGCTAAGGGAGCCATGTAAGATTGAGTATGAAACCTAGGTATCTTTACAATGTAGCTTTGCATAATAACAACAAGCCTAGGGAGGCATGTGAAGGGAGAGCTGAAAACTGGTCATTAATGCAGTTTGGCTGGTTCTCGCGTCAAGTGTCATGGCGTATCAAGCCACAAGAGGCCGGTAACTAGTAATGGGTCCAGAGCATTCTGATTGGTTGATCACTTTCTCAATCTTTGTTTCATTTCCCTTGGTTACGTGACGTCAGTGCTTACGCTTGCAGGGTTTTCCTAGTACTCTCATGAATATAAAACTGTTTCTTTTGCTACACAAATAATGAGAAATACCAGAACCATCTCAAATAGGAGATCTAAGCAGGCAGAGTGAATGGGCATGGATTTATTGTAGTGTTACAGACACGTTTATGCAGAACAGAACTTTGTTTTCAAATTACATCATTTAGTCACGTGCCTTTTGGTCCGAATTCCGGCCCAATGGAACAATATGGTGATTACTAGTTACTTGCATCCTACTTGTCATTCGCAAGGAAAGCCGGAAACCAGTGAGGAATGCAGTATGCAAGAGCATCCTACTTGCCATTTGCAAGGGATGCCAGGAACTAGCGAGGTCGCATTATGCAAGACTAACTGCACACTTAGGGGTGAAAAATTGAGCTGGATTGTGAAAGCAATGTTATTTGAAATGTATTTATCTGCAGCGGCGTGAAGCAGCCAAAAATATTGATTTGTTCAG